ATTATGCCATCTGCTGGTCCCAAGTAAATGATTCTTTAGCTTTTGTTTACAATTTTTCTTGCCACTTATGAAGCTATTTGATACTGATTTTTTTCCATTTGTTAGCTACCTTTGAATTAATCAGATGGTTGAGTGAATACTAATAAAAGTGAGCTTTATCTATTAGCACATATCCTTTATCATTGCAGATTGAAGAGAAACTACTGATAGCAGAATAATATTGTAGCCGAATGAATAAATGAGTGAATAGAGGATTGAATGATGGAGTAAGATTTTTTATTTTGCTGTGTGTGACCCATTTATCTGATATGCTCACATTTTCCTCTCATTTACTGACCCCATACCTGTGGGAAAATGTTTTCAAAATCTTATCTAAAATGATTGATTTTTGTATCAAGTGTTACAGTTTTATTTTTATATGCATGTGAGTAGCCAGATCTCCAAAGTTGTATTATGTCTTCTGGAAACACGTAACACAGATTGACCTACAGCAGATGAAAGTTTAGCTTTGGGGGTAAGCCTTAAACTAAATTTGCACTGCTTCCTACTGTCTACTTGCAAATTCCAAAGATAAGAGTCTCTTTATTTGCAATCCATTATCACTATTTAAACATCTTTCACTGCTGATGTTGTACTTTGCAAGAAGCTGGATGGGTTGACTTTGAACAGTAGCAGTTCATAAAGACAGCAGAGCCCTCACCTTCCAACCCTATCACCCACTTTGTTTTTCTATTCCAGCATGAGAGTCTTTAGTATCAGATGGAAGGACACTTTTTTTTTTCTCTCTCTCTAAAAGACATCAAGAGGAATGAAGGGAAACAAAACCTGAAAAGCAATCTTTTCAAACTTGTAAAATTTCCCCCTGTAAGTCATGATTTCTGCCTTCTAACAATAACCAAAGAGCTTTCTTGAACATCAAATAACGCCTGCAAAGTGACATTTTAAAAAATACTCAATGTACACAAACTGGAAACATATGGATACAATAGCAAACATCTAGAAGTTAGTGAATTAAATGGAAAAACACCTCCAAAAGCACATTTTATATTGTTATTGCAAAACCACAACGTTGCTAATATTGGATGAATCCTGAAAACAACTGGATTTTGGCTTTCTTTAATTGTGTCTGACCCAAATTGTGACTTTTCTTTCTTCCTTTTTCAAGAGACTAGCATTTCTGTACATTACTTGTACTTTTAGAGCTGAGTTCTGGACTATATGGCATTGCTTACTCAATTCACTTCCTCCATGTGCATGAGGAAATAAGAGTGAGTTTGTAGTCCACCGCTGAGTTTTCATAATAAAGGAGGAACAATGGACTTTGAAAGTCACAGATTATCTCCATCCGCACTATGGTCATCTGTTTCTACCCTCTATTTCCCTGGAATGACTAGCAAGATGCAGAACTGACTGATGATCTCCTTTCTCCTGCCTGACCCTGCATACACACCCCCTCACAGAGGTGCAAGGAGCAGAAAAGTGACCAAAAGGCAGGGGGTGGGAGGGAGAGGAAAGAAAAACAAACTGAGTGATCAACCCCAAATGACCGAGTGTTGGCTGTTTTCTATTATTCCATCACTTGAGCTTTCTCAGATGTGTTTTTTTGAGAAGACTTTCATGTTGTGATTTCTTTCTCCTCTAAGAACTAAACATTATTTTCCAGTCAAGGATTGGGGGTGCAGGGCACTTGAATGAGGTCCAGGTAGGCTGCCAGATTCTCAGAATGTTCAAGCATGGGATTTTCATCCTCTTTCTTCTGAAAATAGACTTTTAAATTGTGCGTGAAGCCATGCCAGTGATGTACAGAAATGAAAGCCACAAAGTAGTGAGTTAAAAATTCAAAAGCCATTCATTGATCTTTGGTATTTACATACAGATGTAAATATGTGGGTATTTATCAAATTATGCATTTCGGTATTTAGTAAATCCACTTTGTTAAGAGCAGACTGCAGTTTATAAAAATATGATCCGCACTGAATTGTGTTTTGATCCACCCTCTCTATCAGAGTGCTTTTAAGTTCTATCATGAATTAAACATAGGACAATCTCATTCGTTTAAATAAAATCCGCCTACTAGGAGCCATATGTATGGCCTGGGTCAGATCTGTGGAAATGTCATTGTGGAAAAGAATGCCCTTTGGCCATGTCTTTTCTGTTGCAATTGTCCAAGGGCTAAGAATGAACACCAAAGAGGAAGGAACACATCAATCTGAGTCGCCAATACTTCAAAGATGCTCGCTCTTTCTCAAAAGACCAATACACTGGAGGCTTTCATTAGACATCAACTAACTTAAAGGAGGGTTTCCTAAAGGACACAGACTTTGTGTAAAACTGCTTTTTGTTTGCTATAGGATTTAATGGTAGAGAGAATTTCTTTGTGAGTATAGAAATCCCTCTGAAACAGTCATTTATGAGGATGATTGATAGAGTAACAATTTAGTCCCAAGCATTATGCAAAGTGTTTTATTTGCATTACATAATTTTATTATCATAAATTCCTTATAATGTAGCTACTATTCTTATTCCCCATCTGTATTGTTGGGGATAAAAATAAAGCACAGAGATGTATTCGCTGAAGTGCACGAAGTGTCAGGATTTGAATTTCCTATGTGTTACTCTGCAACATAATTAGACTTGAAAGAATACATGTAAATTTTCCTAAGGTGCCAAAAACTTTTCCTAAGAGCGTAATAATGCTGATGTAGTTTGGTTGTGAGATCCTTACAAAGGAATTTCACGTAATTTTGGTTAATGATCGTCATTGCTAGTAACTTGGAAATATCAAAGTGGGGCATATTGCCTATGCATATGCCAAGATTTTTAAAGTACCATTTTTTGCAAAATTTGTTTTAAATTTATATTGCCCCATATTCTTGCTTAATTTAAAGTTGAACCTTATATGTAAGCTTTGTTCAAGAGAGAAATGCTAAAATATGAAAGAGATGTAAGTTTTCACCTAGTCACTATGTAAAGAGCTTTGATGAGTCCATATGAATATGTGGAACAACTGAATAAAAAAATGGACAATGAATAGGAGGAATTTTAATGAAGCCTAAATACAAAGGGTTAAATGTGAACACATGTTATAAAATGTTCGAGATCAATCGTAACTATAAGAATGTCAATTAAACTATGCACTATTTTAATATAGAATTACAAAAGATTAAGAACTGTATCTCATAACTATTTTAAGGATAAAGACAATAGACACTCTCGAACATCATTGGTGGATATATAAATTATTAAAACACACACACACATACTTTAAAATATAAGCAGAAATCCTAAGACTTAAAAATGTTTATACTCTTTGAGTCAATCATTTTACTTATAGAAGTTGATATGAAAAAAAAAGAAGACCATGAAGTTTTACCTACTAGAATATTTACCACAGTTTTATTTTAAATAAAAAAGAATTAAAAATGTGTAAGTTCAATCTATAATAAAGACCTGACTCACATATATATGATATTGCCATATGACAGTGATATTTTGAAGACTAATTAACATAAAAACATAATATTGAGTCATTGGGAAATTCATGACCCATTTTGCATAGAAAAACATAGAAAAGTACATTGCAACTTTCCCAAGGACTTAATACATTTATTTACAATGTATCATTAAAAAGAAAAAGGATACAAAATGATTTGAATTTCAAAAACAAATGTTTTCTATATAGCTATACATGTAATGTAGCTACCTTGTTTAGTATATATATAGAATATCAATATATAATTGTATGTACTAGAACAAGAAAAAGTTAATATTAATAATCTAAGGGTGGTGAATTTTAGGTAATTTTTACTTTATTCTCCATATGTTCTGAATTTAAAGTTTTATGACTAGTAATATAATTTTTTTGTAGTCAAAAATATTAAAGTGTCAAAGCTTTCTTTAAATAATTATTTAACTTTATTATTTATTTTAATTTGACCAGAGAGGGACAGAGTGAGAGAGAGAGAGAAATTGAAAAAGCAACCACCAGGTTCAGGACTTGATCTGTGGTCAGCCATGTGGGAGTCCAGTGCCCCCAACCACCATGCTACCTGCTGGCCCCAAATATTTTTTTTTCTTAATGAGAGACACAGAGTGTTAGAAAGAGAAGGTGAAATAGTGTTTTTCATTTTGACAGGGTCTTGCTATTTCATTATTCTTCTTGCCCCAGCCTCTTAGTCAGCTAGGATCACAGGCTCATGTCATCACCTAGCCTGTTTGGGTTGAGCCAAGAACTGAACCTGGGCCTCCCATATGGCCTAACCCATCACACAGCCACACCCTACTGCTTTCAGCATGGTCACGAGAGCATATTTCTTACAAAGTGAAGATGAATATGACTGGGATAATAATCAACCCATGGTGTTCTCAGGAAATGATAGCCCAGATAAACCTAGACTTCTGCTGTTAGTGGAAATGCTTACTTGACTAAACACATCGCAGAGGTTTAGCCTTATGATTATTCACAGAAATGTATATTTTTAAAATGACCATGATCACACCTGTTGGCTGGTGTTCAATGGTCCTGAAAATGGAAAAAAACAGCAACAAAAAGCAGGCATTTTCAAACGCTGCCAACTGGAGTATGTAATAGGTACAGTCTTTTTGGAGAGCTGTGTGTCCCTGTCATAAATGTAAATGTAACTACAACACCATGTTGTGTGGGCCCAACCTCTGTGGCACAGTTAGTAGTGTATTGGGCTGCAAAGCTGGAAGCCACATGCCAACTACAGTTTGAGTCCTCAGCCTGGTCAACCTGAAAACAAATTGGATGTGTGTGCATCCTCAGCCACCCTGGCTGGCAAGAGAGCTGGAGAACCGGGGTGGAAGTGCGACTGAGCCTTGTGAAGGGTGCTTTGTTCTTTCTCTCTCATGCATATACATGCATTCCGCCATGAAGGGAAAAGAAAAGCACCATGTGTTATTTATTCTATTTTATTTATAGATATTATCTGTCAATTTAAATGAAATAAAAATAGTTTTTTAAAATGAAATATGCTTACCTTTAAAAATGACCCTTTTTATATCTAGAAGTAGATTCTATAAAAAGTTCTTCCCAAGTAAATAAAATTAGATGTACAAAATGTTTGTTCCAGCAGCTTTTATAAAACCAAAATACGGGGGACAAGCTACCTGTCAAAAGAAGAATGTTTAAATAGGTTTAGCAGCTGCTAAAAAAACAAACTGAGAGAGATCTAAATAAAATAGCATAGACATCCATTCGTCTCTTTCCTGGGAGCACATGCAGCCCAGACAAATTATTTAAAAAAAAAAAAAAAAAAAAAAAAAAAAAAAAAAAAAAAGAAACCTCAATGGCACAATGATGTGGGGAGTAGGACTCAATTGAGGGTCTCCAAAAACCTGAATATATAGAAAATATCTGAGGAGATAAATCTAAATTTACCAGCAGTTATCTCTTTGGAGGGAAATGAGCCAAAGGCTATTGGAGGCAATGAGACAGGAATTTTATTTCTAACTTTTATCCTCTGATGGTGTTTGAAGTGCAGTGAGAAGTATTTATGTGGAACATATCATTAAAATGATTTAAAATGATCAATGACCCAAGAAAAGTGTTAGTTATTTATTTTAACCAAACTCTAAAGTATTGTCAGATATCATCATGCTGTGAAAACTATAAATTACTTTCCACAAAATAAGAGTATTTTCCTTCTCCCCTTAAACTGTCTTAAAATGTGTGGCCAGAGTAAAGCTGATCTTGGCAAGAGTGGAAGGCAGTTCACAGGAGGAGGACTCCATAGAGCAATGCGATCAGTATATTAAGTTGCAAGAACATTTTCTTTAAAACCTTCAGTTGAATCATCCTCTCTTAACAAAACATTTTTATTTTTACAATTTTAAAATCCCCCAGTGGCTATTTTGCTTGATTTTTTTGTATTGTCTGTCTTTTATTTCTTCATGACAGTGATGCAAAACAAATTTTGATTAAGATGTCTTTCTCATTTTCTTGATTGCATAGCCCTCTGCTTCCAAGAAGATTAATATTTCTACAGAAAATAATTTTTTATTGTGTATTAGATTGTTTTGCAAAACTGAAAATAACTCTATTTCTGTTAGGAAATTAATTTATGCTAATTTAAACATACTAAATAATTTATAAAAATGCAAAGGAAGGGAACTAGCAGATGACATAATGGTTACATTGCTGAAATCTCATGTAGTCGACCACAGTTCAAGTCCCAGACCCAGCAGCTTAAAACTCCAGGTGCATGTGTGTGCATGCCCAAAATCCCTAGAGGGAAATGGAAGAGATTGCAGTGTAGCCATCCCCCTGGAGGTGGGGGTGATTTTGTCTCTGTCTCTATGGTGAGCAAAAATCTTTCTCTATAGCAAAAATCTTTTTCTTTTTTAATTTAATTTTATTTATTATCATAATCTTATTTACATTATATTGAATCATATATGTCTTTACAGTGTATTACCTTTCTTTTTCCAGAAGGAATGCCATGCATGTAAGTCAAGACAAAGACATTACTATCCACATCATTACCATCAAATAGCTTTTCATCATTTTTTTCAGAATATTATTATTATTATTATTTTCATTATGTTTTAAGCATTCAATCACTACATATCATGGGGTTTGTAAAAAGAATTTACCCAACATTTAATACATCTCAGACCAGTCCAGTTGAGAGTACTATACATGTTCTCATCAACAAGTAATAAACTCTCTCTCTGTCCCACTAATGTCATGCCTCTCTATTTGTTCTCTTACTATCCTTCTCTGTACTCTTCCCTTCTCCTGCCCCATTCCACTGTCTTCAGCATCTCTATTTCCACTGCTTTTATATAGCAAAAATCTTTCTTAAAAAATGCAAAAGAAGTAAAACTCTATAAAAAGAGATAACTAATGTCAGCATTTTAGTGTATATAGTTGTATGCATCAAATTTGTCTAGCGTAGTTTTTTCCCATGTGATATACACCATACCCTTATCTTTTTTTTTTTTTTATACATAGCAACACAAGATTCTACTGTATGGTTATTCCATTTTAAGACATTAATGTTTCTGACAGGCTCAGTTCATTGCCAGTGTGATAACCTTTCCTTCATTGCTGGCAAATCCTGCTTTCCATAATAGAGGCAGAACATGCAGTCATTTACATTTTCACTTTTTTTTTTCCAGCTGATGTATGGGCATGAGCTGTAGATGTGGCCAATAACACCAACCAATAGTTCGTAGCATAAGTTTTCCTCTTTGAAAAGTAGACATGCTTGGATAAACTGTCCTTCTTCATGTCTTTGGATGTGATTGTGTCAGATGAGATGCCTGGAGTTGCAGAAAGTCTCTTGTGACTATGAGGAATGAAGCCTAAGAATAAACCCATGCTACTGATAATAGAGTTTGAAGCCTAAAATATTCTGAATCTTCGATGAAATTCCTGAACTTAGAATTTTCTTTCAGAAATGTTTTTTTATGGCCCAATAAACTAATATTGTTTAAGCCACCTTACAAGTTAGTCTGCTACCTATATCCAAAAGCAGTCCAGCTGAAATGTAGAATTGTTTTCAAGCTTTAAGTCTCTCAAACAAATTGACATGTTCATTACTAAAAGTGTAAGTTTATAATTTTGTCCAAATATTTATCTGCAACAAAATTTATAAAATTTATTTTCACAAGCCAAAGAGAGAGACATAGAGAACCTTCAAAAGGATTCTGATGCCCTAATCGACCCCAGCCTGAGGATACTCTCATGCCTAGGACACTCAGGGTGTGCTCTGTACTCAAACTGGGAACCTTCCCAAGTGAGTCAGCCTTTGCAGAGGGATATGTTTTACCACTGCACCATCATCCACCACTGAAATAATTTTCAGTAGTGGAATTCCTTGCTCAATGATTAGAGCAACTTTAAATATAAACTTAAAAAAATATTTTAAGGACATTTTAGCTAGAATTTTTTATTCTATTCTTTGTTCTTACATTTCTTAATTGTGTCAGTCTGTTAATTTAGAGATTGAGATTGTGGATTAAAGAGATACATGCCCCAAATTGGGTTTCTGTCCACATGGCTAACTACTTAGTGGGCTTGAATTTGTCTCTGCTTTAGTTTGCTCATCTGTAAAATGGGGATGAAAAAGTATGGGATTAAAAAAAAAGCACCTACTTCCTTGGGCTTTTGTCATGATTACATAAATTTATACCTGTGAAAGTATCAGAACTGTCTAGTGCTAGCTCTAGAACAAGTGCTCTTTTATACCTCTGTATATCCTCACAGCCTATTTCAGTGATTAATATACGATAGTTACTTAAAAATATTTATCAAGTAAGTGAAAGAAATGAGTAATAAGTATGGTGTTTATCAGGACTAACGTCTTCTCATATTTAAGCATCCTTAGGACCTACTCTGCTCTTCCTCTGTTATTTTTCTTTTGCCATAAATTAGGCTGTAAATTGACCTGAGATATAATATTACTGTTATGAGCCAGTGTGCACTTAACACAGAAGATGCCCAACAGGAAACATCCTTGAGACTGGTATACTAGGTCACAAAAATGCATATATTCAACCCAAACACTAACTTGCTCTTTGAAAATCAATGTAGTGTGGAGGCATTGGATCTTCAGAAAATAAGGGTGTTTAGTGTTTATGTAGTCTCATGTTTCAGCCAGTGGTGTTAATGTAGCTTCATTCTTTAGCCAATGAAACAATTTGCTTCTTATCATCCCAGTTAATTACTCAATGTCTGACTGGATCTTTTCATCATTATTTTAACTTTTGGAGGTAGAGAACATGGAGGAGAAATAAAGTTAGAACACATTATTTGAATATTATTTTATTTAATGTAATTATTAAGGCAAAACAGTGACATCACATTTCCTAGATAGTGTAGTTTTGAGTACCAATTGTAGATTCCTTTTATAATATTTTTTATATCTTTCCTCACTCATTTTTAGATAAATTGAAACATAAAATGATCAGTAAAAGACATATAAAACATGATATATTTTATATTTGTGAAATATATATATATATATACACACACATGCAAATATATGTTATATATTATAGTATACATGTGCGTACAAATCTGAATTCCACAATACATTTTAGCTTATCATTTTAAGTGAATATAGAATAATCCTGCATCAAAGGGCTGTGGAACTTAATGGAGGTTTTATGTGAAGTTCAACTATCTTACCCTTTGGCTAACGACTATCAATCAACCCACTCATTGCCCTCGATTATGTATTATTCTTTTGAGGATTTCGTAGCAGGTTGCTTCAGATCTTTAGTGCATTATCTCATCTCTCTAATCTACTCAACAGTGTCCAAGGCTACCAAAATGAAATGACTGTTCCAACCTATAGAAATGGCCAAGATTGTTACAGTGGTTCTTTTTTTTTTTTAAGAATTATTTTATTTTAACTTTATTTATTATTATTATTGTTTTCCAGTTTGATCAGAGAGAGAGCGAGGAAGTGAGAAAGTAAGCCACCAGGTCCGAGACTTGAACCATGGTCGGCCATGTGGGAATCCAGCGCCTTTAACCACCATGCCACTTGCCAGCCCCATTACAGTGGTTCTTTGACTAATTCTTTCATTTTAGTGATACTATGTGAGTATATTTTAGAAAAAGAAAATCAAAGGGAAGAGAAAACGTATCTGCATATTAAACTATTTAAAACATAATTAATGAGAAGAAAAAGAAAGGGACACCCAACAGTTGCATAGTGGTTAGGGGTGCTGGACTCCCATATGGTTGACCACGGTTCGAGTCCTGGACCTGGCAGTTTGCTTTCTCACTCTCCCTCTCTCTTTTTCTGTCTCTTATTCTGTCTGTCTCTGGTCCATTTTTTTTTAATTAAATAGAATAATTCTTAAAAAAAAAAAAGGAAAGAGATACATATTCCACATTTACCTTAGTGACAGATAATCAGTTAATATTAATATTAATTGTTTAGCCAGAATAAACTGATAGGTGGTACAACTGATAGATGAGTATAAACCACAGAGCTTTAAAATAATGACTGATTTTGGTATTTTCTCTCTGACTCCAGAAAAGGTAGTCTTTGGACTCAAAAGATTGCCAGTCAGGAAGTTACAAAACAGATTACAGGAGCATCAGAAGTACATTTTTAAAAGTAGCATTTTTTTTACAGAAGAATTAAAAGGTAGAAACTAGCATTTATATTAAAATGATTTAGTCTTACATGTGATTCCAGGACTGGGGTGCTGTGTTTACATAATTTTGAAGACAATCGACTATTTCTTAGAAAATGCTACTATATTTCTTTAAACAGTCTAGTTATTTTTTATTAAAGAATTATTTTATTGAATTTTATTTTATTTATGTATGTATTTATTTTTAATTTTTCCAGAGAGATCAGAGTAAGAAGGGAGGAGAGGGAGTGAGAAAGTAAGCCTCCAGGTCTGAGACTTGAATTGAGGTTGGTCATGTGGGAATCCAGTGCCCTTAACCACCATGCCACTTGCTGGCCCCAACATTCCAGTTATTTTAAAAAGCATTTCAAGTACAACATTTTAATACTGTTCTCTGCTTAGAAAACACTGACTGACAATAGGCACATGTGCTTCCATGCCCAAATCCTGAGGAAATTGAGAAAGGAGGTGGGGAAATTGAGGTATAACCTTGCCTTATTGGAGGAGAATACTTTCTCTCTTTTACACGTGTCCTCTCGAAATTAAAACAAAAAATGAAAAAGATTTTAAAAAACACTGATTAGACTCTGTGACCTTCTGTATTTTAAAGTTGGCAATTACTGATTTTCATTAGACTGTGAAGCTTGATGCCTACTGCTGAAAAACCCTTTCATTCATTTATTTATCTACTGTTTATTGAGGGTGTGCTTCATGCTAACCTAGGACTGCACTGCTCTAGGCATTTGGAACAGAGCTGGGAAGAAGCCAGACAAAATATCTTGTTTACATGGAGCATTGCCACAAAAATGTGCTATTAAATGCATCAACTTGTCGGAGGTACTCATGCAGCATGCTTTGGGGGATGGGGACTTAACTTATGGAATATACTTGTGTAAATCATTTGAAAGGAACTGATTCCCTCTTTCCCGATCTAACTTCCCACAAATGGGGACTTAATTAATGTCTACCTCAGAAAAGGTCTTGGAGCAGACTTGATAGGTGTTAACTAGATTGTTGACGTGTTTCGCACGTGCCATTCTCTTCCTGTGACATGCAGGTGACTCCATGATGCGTCTAGCAAAGGTGGGTCTGGAAAGAGAAAAGACCAACCTGCGTAATTCAATTTTTGAGCTAAACTATCCTCTGGTGAAAGGCAATCTCACCATGGAAGCACAGTTTCCTAAGCCTTTCTAACCCGTAAGCGTGGCAGTTGGCTCCTTAAACACTTAGTGAGATTGGTGTCTTGCAATGGTGGTGTTGCCGCAGTGATTGAACATGGCAACAACTCTTTCAAGTCATGTCGCTTTGCCAAGTGGGTTATCAGGGTACACTTCTTATGGTGGTGTAGAGAAAGGGTTTGGAACTGGAAGCCAGGACCATCCTCGGAGTCAGCAGTAAGCAGGAGTCTGGCTCTGCCTATAACCTGTGATCGGCTTTTGGTTCAGTCATACCTTCTTTGTACGCAGAGGCTCTTGAAAAGCCTTTGCTGTTTCATCTCTATGAGCTTATGAATCACCTATATTTAAAATGGTGCACCTTTTAATGGGAAACATTAAGAGTCCATCATAAACAATTTTGGGAAATGAGTGCATATATTTTATGGTGATTAATGTCCGAAGCAGCAAATAGTTTTTATGGGTACAATAACAATTGCAACCATTTGTTTTGATAACTTCTTTGCATGTTATTACATCCTTAAAATCAACTCCTGTTTTCAGAGAAAATTTTAAAAAATAGCTCTTTCTCTTTTTAACTTTTCTCCCTATTATAATATTTGTGGTACCCTCACAAACTTTGGAAAAGGCTGTTGCTGCTGCTAGAAAAGGTACAGGTTAGAAAGATCAGAGAACATGAAGAGATGCTCTGGAATAGGAGATGCAATGAGAACTTGGCCTATGAAGCCGTCTCCTTCTTCTATAAAAATGTTGGCCTCTAGTTACATCCACTGAGTGTAACATTAATTTATTGTATTTTGTCAAACATTTCAACTAATTTGATACAAACTGAAATGAACCTATCAATATTTTGGAAAACCAAGGAGATTTTGAAAAGTGATGGCTTAAATTTTTTTTTTTTTTGCTTGTTTTGAATCCATTTTTAATTGGTTTTACATTTTATCTGTTACTTCCTTATTTGGTCAAGTACCACAGCTTCTGAAACAGCTCCAAAAGAATCTTTCTCACGACTCTCCCAGAACAGCTAGGACTATGGGATACTGAAAATGTCCCCGTGTCTTCCCAAGCCCTATTTCTTCATAGAATACTTACTACTATTTTTCTTAATGTAAATTTTCTCTTCCCTCCTCTTTTTTCTGTCCCATCCCTGTAGAATCAGACTCAATAAACAGAATAAGAAACATTGTTTTGTATAATAATACGTAAATGTCTATTTTATTTTCTCTGGATTCTAAAAATAAATTTTCACAAAGCTAAGTACCACTCTGTCTAGAGCAGTTTTATGTCTTCTTTGAGACCAGAAAGTGCTTTATATTGCCCATCAATTGACATTGTATGCTTATAACTACTACAATAAACACAAAATCTTTAACTTTTTGATGGAATGGCATTTTCATACTTAGTAGGGAATTTACAATTAGTAAAGAATTTTAAAGCTGATAGATGATTTGCCTTTAAAGCTGATAGATGATAGATGAAGCGAGCAAATCTTCAAATCAAGTCATCATTCTTGCCTTAAAATTACAGAGCTTAAAAACAATGAAAAGCATGAGGTCCAACCTTGGGGTGAAAATGGTAGGGTACCACTGCAGGAGGCAGAGTCTGCAGGGGAGGCCTGAGTTTGGAGCCTAGTCCAACCTGAACAGGGTCGGAGCAGGGTCATATTTGTAATCACAGCTGAGAGGTCAAGGAGATCGCCAACAGTGAGATCCTGCCAAACCTCTCTCTCTTTCTCACTCGCTCCTCCTTCCACTCTCTCTGTCCATCTCATAAAGAAGTTAAATTTAAATTACATTTTCCAAATTTGCACGATAGGAAAATTTTAAACACATGCCCAAGTAAACCATAGAGCACACTGTACCTGTCACCTACTAACAAAAACTACCAAAATGAGCTGAATGTAGGCCTGTAAGTAGGCAGTCTAAAATTACTTACTTGGATAAACACTACCTTCTGTAGTGTTTATTTATTTTTTTCCTTTTCCACATGTCTTTTGATCAATTAACAATCATAAAACTTATAATCTTTAATAGAATCAAAGTCCTGACATAAAAAAAAAAATTAACTTTGTGAAAAGAATTTCTATTCCTTTGGGCACCTTGACTGTGGTTATTCAGGTAGCTGCACGCTTAAAATACATACAAATCCTTCAGAGATACTTAACACTTCAATCCCTCCTGTAATACTCTCAGAGGTATTGCCAGCCCCTGGGAACAAGCCAGTTTAGGAGAATTTATCTGCTCTATGATGAAGGATAAAGATTCAGCCAAACCCTAATAATCTGATAATAATTTGATTTAGTTTCACTTCAACTTTGCTATTTGGATCTTAGGGACTGAAGCCATCCATGCATGGACAAGTTGGTCTTTTAGGGCATTTGGTGGGTTTGTTGGATAAAATATTTTGGTGGAGAAAATATGACTGTGCTCATTGGATTTTTTCATAGTTGTCAAGGACCTAAATATGACCTTGATAGATCCTCAAAGCAAGAGTATGGGACTGGACTGGGAGATAAGGCAAATGAGAAAATGTTCCCACTATGGGTGGCTGGTTTGCTGATTTGCTGATTTTTAGATCTGACTAGTTCTTTTGACCATCTTCTCTCATTTCCCCAGACCTAACTTAAAGTTGGAAGAAGGCAGGGCTGCCCACCTTGTGACGTAGCTTCCACAATCTGGAAACTGTAAAAGAAATGATCCTTCAGAACCATTTTAATGACAAAGTTATATTCATGAAACACACCTGTTTTTTTTTTTTCTTTTTTTTTTTATTTTAGTTATCACAGACTTGTGACTTATATAAAGAAGGAAATAGACTTTTTTAAGGGTGAAAAAAAATCCTCATTTCAGCTGAAGAAAAGAGAAATGTTTGTACAGGTCAGAAACATCTGGCTTTGTTTTATTTGAGCCTAAAGGTTTCCAGTTGGCATCATTTTCATACTGCTCGCCATAGGCCTTTCAGGTGTCCCTGGCCTACTGTGGCATTTCCGGGAGGAGAAGGAGGTGAGAAACAAATAAATGCATGTGCATTTCCTCTACACAGATGCTTTTGTAGTATTCTCATGTTAAATTAAAAAAAAAAGAATCACGTGTTCCTTCTATAGGTAATTAGTATCATTATTGAAGAAGTTAAAAGCTAGTGATGAACTTCGTTTAATTGAGACTTTAAAGAGTCCTCTTAGGGACCAGCAGTTAGCGTAATGGGCTATGTCACTGGACTCCCACGTAGTCATCTGCAGTTCGCGTCCCGGACCCAGTGGCTTAAAACTCACGCCAGGTGCATGTGCGTGCGTGCCCAAGATCCCGAGAGGAGAATGGAGGAGGAGAAGGGATTGCGGCATGGCCATCTTCCCTGGTGGGTGATTTCTCGCTTTCTGTCTCTCTGTCTCTCTGTCTCTCTCTCTGTCTGTCTGGCGAGCACACACCCCCTATAGCAAAAACCTCTAAAAAAAAAAAAAAAAAAAAATGAGCCCTCTTAGATGCAGAAATTCTATAGCTCCCAAGCATGAGTATTGTCTTTCCTGCCCAAGTCCCTTCATCATTTTCCTTATCAGCATTTGTCTATTTCCTTTATTGACAGTCGCACACTATAGAATAAGAAAGAGGACTGCTGAATTGCCAGTCAACTGCCTCTGCCTGTTCTTACTTGATCTCATAAAAGATTTTTGGGAAATCAAACTGTAATAAAAACTGACTGTTCTTAGTCAGTGTGTGAAAAAAGGCTAGTTACAAGGAGCTAGTTTTAGGTGTGTTTGAATTAAACTTCCTTACACATCTCCATTATTTTCCATTTCTACAGATAACCATGATTTACTGTTATCATAATTTTTATTATTATCTTATAATCAAGAATCTGGTTGCAATGCCTACTGGTGTTTAAAGCAATACCTACAAGTGACAAATAGCAAAGATGGATGAGAAATAGTTCGCTCATGAGGATAAAAAGCAATACTGTAGATGGACAAATATCGGTCCTGAATTTCTCAGCATGTTTCATCCATCTCTGATCCCCTTGGAACGTTTCTAGGTAGAAAAGGGCCCTAACTCTAGTTGATATTGTCATTATCTATTCACTTTATCACTACATCAAGTATCAACAGGCTGTGAACTCTCTCTTTCAAATAGTAACGACCGAGACAAGTTTTCTCTGTACCACTCAGGCTCTGAAGTGCTTTGTATCCCAACAGCCAGTTTTCCTAACACTGTCACAGTATCCAGGTTTGTGGACTCATACTGGAGAACCAGAATAGCTGCTAAAGAATGAGAAGGAAAATGCCTTCGATAACACCCCTTTGAGATCAATTATCTCTAGTTTCTAACTTAGCATACAATGATTTAAAAAAATACATTCTAGCTTTTCTTGGCAACTCTAAAAGTTTTCCTACAACTGAGAACTGTGAATTCTGTATACCTTTGAATGATATACACTGCCAAAGTCAAGGTTAAATCTGTGTGGCATGTTTCAAAGGAACACAGACTTCATTACGCAGGGCCAGTTAGTATCAAGGTGGCTTAGAAAACTGGATCGTACATGGCTGCCTGTGCAGTTCCAGTCCTGGATCTGACAGCATGAAAAATACTCTGGACATGTGTGTACATGCCCCGAATCCAAAAAGTAGAAAGGGAGACAAGATTGAGGCATGGGAGTACTTCCTCATTTTCCCTCTCCCTCTGTCTCTCTATGGGGAGTACATATATCTTCTAGGAAATTAAATTATTATCATTATTATTATGTATATTTTAAATTTATTTCCGAATATATAGAAGTGACAACATATTTTTATTGTATATATTAAGAAATATCCTTAAAATATCCTTATTTATAGCTTAGGGTAAAGTGAAATATTATGAGAGAGCAGTATTTACATTTGTCATTTTTGTTGTGACTTCTATAAATCCATGCAAACTTGTGAAAATATTTACTATTACTTGTAACTGGCTATGGTGGGATATTTAACTGAATATGGTGAGAAATTATTCAGTAGTAGGAGATGAAACTTGTGAATTATGCATAGCCCAATGTCCTCCACTGGAAATTCTCAATAGAAATTTGGAAACACAGAAGGAAAGAACATAGAAATAGATGAAATCTCAGGGGTCACTGAGTCCAGGCCCACCTCCCAGCATAAGACCCCATCACTACATCCCTGGTAAATCAGGTGCTCAACAAAAGCGTGAGGGAAGAATGAACCATGTTCAGTTTGGCCATTTCCAGGAATTCCCTTCATGAAGCCACTTGAGCTAAATGAATAGTTTCAATATTTAGAGTGCTCTTTTCTTTATTACCTGATGACATTTATTACTGCAATATTTATTATTACTGATATCATTTATATACTCTCCACAAAGAGAGATCTCACTTGAAAGAAATAGCCAGACCACCATGCCAAACTTAAATAGTCTTGGGCTTTTTAAGGGGAAAAATTATCCATAAAAAACTCTAGAAAGAACCACCTTTTTTCCCCCAGTGGATTATTAATGTTCCACAGTACTTTCATATATCATTATCCTGTCCAAAGAATGGATGCAAAAATTCATGTGTATATATATTGTGTGTGTATAAACACACACACATATTTATATAGTTTTACTATAAGCATAGTAAAACTATTCTGAAGGTCAGAATGGTTTTGAGAATAAAATCATGCAAACTTATTCTGCACTTTAGGATAAGTGGCTAAAAGGCATTAGTGTTAAGCTGCTAATTCGAGATGGCTCCTATCGTATTACCTCCAGATAGCATACGTTTTCACAAGTGAGAAAGAGCAGGCGCTTTTTCATGTTATCTCTTAAACCTCTCCTCTTTCCCGCCCCTCCTCCTTATTCTTCTTTCCCTCCCCTCCTCCTTATTCTGACTGAGAACCCTGATAACTTTAAATCTGGAGTTACCATCAAGGCTATTTCAATAGATCACCATGCTGAACCTCCTGGCTTTCCATCTGAGTCTGAGACGGGGCTGGCTCTCTGCAGAAGAGCTCATTCATCATCCTTTGCCCCTGGCCTCTGGTCTCTGAGAGATGCCTAATTTCTTGCTTATATGTTCTAATAAGAGTCAACTGGGATTTGTTTACCCTAAATACTCTGATCAAAAGGAAAGAAGTAGGAATGAGAACTATCATGGTTCTCTTATTTTTAAAAAAATTATTTAATTTAATTTTATTTATTCATTCTTTTTTTTTTTTATTTGAATGGAGAGACAGAGAGAGAGAGGGGAAGTTTTGAGAAAGCAAGCCGCCAATACTGTGGAACATTAATAGTGGTCCAGTACTCGAGCTGTGGTCAACCATGTGGGAGTGTCCAGCACCTTAACCACCACGCAACTGCTGGTCCCTTAACTTTTTTAAAGATATTTTTGTCTTAGGACACATGCGGTTGCAAGAGAGAGAGAGAGAGACTGAGAGACAGACAGAGACAGTGAGAGGGAAAGTGAGAAATCACCCCCTCAGGAGGAGGACCATGCCACAAATACTTTCTCCTTCATTTTCCTCCTGGTATCTTCAGTACGCACACACATGTGCACTGCTTGATTTTTAAGCTACCAGGTCTGGGACTTGAACCATTGTCAACCATGTGGGAGTCCAGCGTTCAGCAACGTAACCACTATGCTGGTTTGCTGGCCCTGGCTCTTAACCTTAACAAACTTCAGTTTTCTCAAGTGGAAAATCACTACTAGATATTACCAAGGACCTGCTCTCCAGCTTTAACCCCTGGTTTTAGGAAAATATCACTATCTTTCACAGTTCATAGAACACCTGGAAACTGTGATAAGATCTACAAACCTGCATAAGGGTCAATCATTGCCCCAGGATGAACAATCCTCGCAAATCATCATAGAGTTAAAACATAAAATGTAGATTATTTACCAAGACACAAAGTGAATATGCATCAATAGCTGGGGTCCTCACATATTTTCACTTAAGATCCTGCTCTTGAGACCAGCAGATGTCATAATGGTTATGTCACTGGAATCCCACAGTTTGAGTTCTGGATTCTATGGCTTAAAACTCATGCCAGGCACTTGTGTACCTGTGTTCCAAATCCTGAGAGGAGAATGGAGGAGAAGGGACTGGGGCGTGGCCGTTCTCCCTTGGGAGTGATTTCTTGCTTTCTGTCTCTGTCTGTCTGGTAAGCGCATGTGCCCTATAGCAAAAATTTCTCTTAAAAAAAATATCATCCCGCTTTTGTTTCATTTCAGTGGGTGAAAGCAAAGTCAAGAGTGGATCCCTTCTCCGTCAATTGTAGGTAGTAGGTCAGGTTTTATCCCTCATTTAGGAAAACAAAACAAAACAAAATAAAACAAAAAAACTATATTTTACTTTCATACTTAAAAGATTTTAAAAATTTAAATGCACCAAGATATAATTAGCATACAATACAATTCACACTTTTTAAGAGTATTGTTTGTTGACTGCCAGCAAATGTATGTTGGTGCTTATCCACCATCACTATTCCAACATAGAGCACTTCTGCAGTCTGAAAAACACCCCCCAACTGACTTGGGTCAGTCCCCTTTGCATTCTAAATCCTGAGGAACCACTGATCTATAGCTCTCTTTAGGATTTGCCTTTTACAGAATGTTTACATTTATATTTAAAAAAATACTACAAGTAGGGACCAGCAGTTGGTGTAGTGGCTATGTTGATGGACTCCCGTGTAGTTGACCATGGTTCGAGTCCTGGGCCATGTGGCTTAAACTCATGCCAGGCACTTGTGTGTGTGCATACCCAAGATCCCGAGAGCAGAATGGAGAAGAAGGAAATGCAGCGTGGCCATCCCCCCAGAGGGTGATATCTCGCTTTCCGTCTTTTTATCTCTCTCTGTCTTTCTGGCGAGCATACACGCTCTATAGCAAAAACTTCTCAAAAAAAAAATACTACAAGTAAACATTGAGTTGTTGGAAAAGTCATGATGTATTTTTATATTTTTCTATGAAAAAGTGTGTCATGACTTTCCTGAAAATTCAATAGTTATAGGTTAAAATGATAAGAGTTCAGCGAACACGGATTGAAAAAAAATAAAAAAGTAATGGGATTTGTGTGAAAATGTTATTTTTCTACTTTCTGATTTATGAATGCTAGCTTTCTTTCTCTACACTGTATCCTTCTGAACATGTTTAAACATTCATTATTAACCATTTATTAGGTGCTACTCAATGAACAGTAAGACTGAAACTGTCACCATAATAAAAAAATACAATCTGGCTTAGAAATAGATAAAGAAATTAATGGAGCAAAATAAAGTGACCAGAAATAGATTAATGTATCTATAAGAGCTTAACATATGGCAAAGGTGGCATTTGAATTCAATGAGAAAAGTACTATTTTATTGTCTTACCAAGTGGACAGTTCTACAAAACCAAGCTTCCTTCTAGAAGTGAACAAACTACTTCATATCATATGTGAAATTAATTTCAGGCAAATTTTACATTTTAAGCATAAAAATATCACTAAAATATTAGAAAATAATTTGAGAAAAGAATGAGAGTAGAGATATATCCTTAAAAAGAAAAGAGGGAAGACCAGCAGTCCTACATAACAAACATAGATTTATTTACATGGCAATAGTGATTAAAAACAAAGTGAAAAATGAAGGTAGATGTTTGATAAAAGATAATCTTTCTTATATAAAAATTGCCTGCAAACTAATGAGAAAAAAACAAATGATAAAAGCATAGTTTCAGTAAATTTGTATCTGCAGGGCTGATAATTAAAAAGGAATTCATTCTTATTATTAGTCAAAAATGGAAACTATTATGATAAACTAGGACTCTGTCTTCTCTCAAATTGGCAAAGTTTTGAAGAGTAAATACCACTTTTTTTGAGCATCTGGAAAAGAGATCTAACATATTGGGGTGAGTGGAAATTACTTCCATCATTTTGAAACTTAGGAAACTGAGCATATTGGAAACTTAACGCTGACCTTCAAGTAGCCAAGAATATGCACTTGTTTATGATAGGAAAGCAGGACATAATTAATTGTGACTCAGGGGTTGGACCATTCGGTTCAGTTGGGAAGACTAAAAGTTCACACACCATTTTGGAAATCTATCCTAGTGAAGTAAAAGTACCAGGACTTACAGTTACATACAAGACTATTCTCAAAGGCATTTATTAATCATTAAGAGATAGAGACAAGCTGGAGTTTCTTTGAAGTGTAAAATAGTTGAAGACATTAAGGAGGAAAATGGAGAGGCATGGCACTTATAGGACAAAGAAATGGGTTATTATCTATTGAAGACAACACGCATAGTATTCTCAACTGAACTGGGGAGAAACATACATGTTGGAATATTCACTTTGCAAGCTAAGTGACATATGTGATTGAATACATAAAAGAAATTGAAATAAAAAAATAGTTGAATACAATTTGAAATATGTAGCTATTGAAATGAATGAATTGTACTTACCATTTTACCCAGATGGAGATCCATTATTGCAAAAGCATATTGTGCAGTAGTATGTATGCATGTGTGTATAATTATCTCACTTTTGTAAAATAGTAGGTATATGTTTGGAAAGAAATCAATATATGCATATTTATATGTATGAACACAGTGAATGTTGTAGGATGTGAGGCTGTCCACTCAGAAAATCAGAGTGGAGGAGATTATTTCTAAAAAAGTACATATTTGGGTCATTATGTCTGTTATAATGAACACATATATATTCTGAAATTAATAAAAGAGACAAAGGGAAATAAGAAAGCTAAGCCAGACTTTTGGATTACCTGAGACAGAGACAACTGGCTCCCCCATTCCTGGGGACCAACCCCACTTTGTGATGGGAGCCAATGGTGTGACAATGAACCACATCTTGGGACAGGATCGCAGACTTGAACAACTACATTTGTGAGGTAAAACCATAACTATCATGCTGCCGGCTGGCTCTGGACATTCAGCCTTGAAAAATATTAGTAATCATTGCAAATATTATTAGACGTTGCTATTCGGAGTCAAGAGGGCTTTTTGTTCTACCCACTGTTTGAGTGGAGGGAGTAAATAGCAGAGGCAGTTGAGCATGGATTCTGGATCCAGACTCCCTAGATGTAGAACCTAGCCTGGCCTCTTGTCTCTTGCTGGATCTGTGATTTTGAGCAAGTTATAAATCTGCCTGTGACTTAGTTGTTCCCTCTACAAAATGGATGTAAGAATAGTGCCTACCTCAGAGGGTTGTTCTAAGAGTTACCTGAGTTATTCTTTGTAAAACATTTGAAACTCTGCCAGCCAAATTAAAAATGCTATTTATCAAGTAAATGAATAAAAGCCTTGTATTTTCTGACCATTCAGTTCTGCTTTCTGAGCAATTCTTCGGGGCTTCATTCTGGATCCTATTTGAAACTACAGATTCTCTGATGATTTAATCCCGCTTAAGACTTTGGTTACCACCCCACTGACAACAGTATCAGCCATCTCACAAAGTTTAGGAAGCAGCACCTTCTATCACCCATGCCAACATCTTACACTTGGCCCATGACACACTTCGGACCCACGATTTTGAATCAAAGTGAACTAAAGGGTCCATCCTCTGAGTCACAATAAATTATATCCTGCTTTCCTATCATGAACAAGTGCATATTCTTGGCTACTTGAAGGTCAGCGTTAGTTTCCAGTATGCTCCGTTTCCTAAGTCTCAATGCTATACTGGCAAGCCCTTTCTAATAATCACACATGTCTTAAAAAGGTGGGTTGACAGTGGAAATAAGTGTTCTGAGCATGCTATTCAAAAAAGGGAACTCTTGAAATTATTGAAGAGGAAATGATGTGTTAGAAATGATTATGGGGAATTTACCTTATGGGGGTGTGTGTCCCATTAATCGTAAAGGTTTTTGAGTTTAGCTGTAAAGCTATTGAAATTTATTATTTGGCACACGTTTTGAAAAGGAAGTAGGAACCAGGAGGTGCTGAATTTTTGTGTGAGTTCTCAAAGCACTTGCTGTAACATGGCTTTTGTTTTATTTATTTATTTATTTGGAAACAAACCATATGTGTCAATATTTTTGGCATTAAAGAATGTACAGTGGAATGTTATAGTACCCTTGGTACATTGCCTGCATCCAGTTTATTTTGAGAGGAAGAGAGAGCCATAACCATTTCTATAATTCTCTTGCTTGAATTTGCTCTGTGCAATATGCATGTGTGTATTTCTAATTATATTTTAAATGTTTCTGAAAAGCTAGAAACCCACTCTTTTGCACAGAGGTTTACTTTGGCAGTGTGTAATTGTTTTTATTATATGTTATCCTCTGTTTGGCCTTACTGTAAGCTAGACCAGACAAAAGATGTTCAGAAAAATTAAGCCAACTCTCAAATCTGGAGATGTGATGTGTCCCCAGTGGAGGATTTGCAATGGAACTAACAGAGACTAAAGATTCTCTTTAATTTGCTATCCTGTCAAAGTTCTGTCACATCCATTAAGAAATGTAATTGCTTTACTTATCAAATTTATTCCTTTAACTGCCTGCAGAACATCCTTCTATTTAATTCCCAGGCTGACCTGACTTTGGATCACTGAACTTCAATATACTATGCATGACAGACCTAATTGTAATTCAAAGAAAATCAAGGATGGATACTGGACATTCAGAAACAGCAGACAGCCCTTGCCATGATCAGAACAAACCCATGAAGTTGGTAGAAGACATGTTTTCCCCATTTTATACGATAGAGAAGTAAAAGCCTCTAAGTCACAGTGCTAGGTAGTGGCAAAGTCATGAACAGAACACACCTTTCTAGGCTCAGTTATTCTCTGTTTCATGCAACTATATTTTGTCCTGGAAAGTCATATTTATACTGGGTCATCGTGACTATGAAGGATGTGGAGTTGCAATAATGGATCCATTTGGCCCCTCTGAATCCCCCAAGATGCTCTTCACTGTGTGAATAAATGTATTCTCATTATGTATGCAGCACATCCATCTGCAAATAAAATAAACACA